CTCATGTTCAGATTTGGATGGTCCATCAAGTACCTCAAGCTCTTGTGATCCGTGTAAATGGTACAACGGATCCCATAGAGGTAGTGTCGCCAAATCTTGAGGGTGAAAACAACCGCCCCCAACTCTAGGTTGTGCGTCGAGTAATTCGCCTCGTGAGGCTTCAACTGCCTCGAGGCGTACACGGTGACGTGTCATATCTGCATCAACATTGCGCCCAAACCCGAGATGGACGCGTCACAGTACACTACAAAATCCTCCACGCCCTCTGGCAGGGCTAAGATCGGTGCCTCGCACAACCTCTGTTTCAAGGTCTCGAAAGCCGCCTGCTGCTCAGGCCCCCAGCGGAAAGTCACCGACTTCTTGGTCAGCCGGGTCAGTGGTACCGCTATCTTGGAGAAATCCTGAATGAATCTCCGATAATAGCCTGTTAAACCGAGGAAGCTCCGAATCTCGGATGGAGACCTCGGAACCTCCCATCTCATCACGGCCTCTACCTTGGTCGGATCGACCTAGTATACAGTTCTGGTTGACGAGGTGCCCCAGAAACTGCTCCTTGCGCAACTAAAACTCACACTTGGAGAACTTTGTGAAAAGTCTCTCCCTCTTCAGTGTCTCCAGCACCTCCCTTAAGTGCTCCTCGTGCTGCTCCTACGTCTTGGACTAAACCAAGATATCATCAATAAAGATTATCACAGACCGATCCAACATCGGTCTGCATACGCGGCTCATAAGATCCATGAACGCGACAGGAGCAATGGTGAGCCCAAACGGCATCACCACAAACTCATAGTGACCATAGTGAGTCCGAAAAGTAGTCTTCTATATATCCTCATCTCTGAATCTCATCTGGTGATAGCCAGAACGCAAATCAATCTTGCAAAACCAAGATGCTCCCTGAAGCTGGTCAAAAATATCGTCGATCCTCGGGAGTGGGTAACGGTTCTTCACCGTCACCTTATTCAACTCCCGGTAGTCTATACACATCCGATGTGACCCGTCATTCTTCTTCACAAATAGGATCGGGGCTCCCCATGGTGAACTGCTCGGCCTGATAAACCCGTTGTCTAACAGATCATGCAACTATGTAGACAACTCCTGCATCTCGGGAGGAGCCAACCGATACGGTGCCTTGGCTATCAGAGCTGCACCAAGAACCAGGTCAATCCTGAACTCTACCTGTCTCTCCGGAGGCACCCAGGAAAATCCTCTGGGAATACGTCCGGGTACTCTCGCACTATCGGTACATCATCCACGGTCGCCTTACCCTCCTCTCGGGTATCCATAACGTAGGCGAAAAAACCTGTACATCCCTGATGAAGGTAGGGTCTGGCTCTCGCTGCTGAACACATGACTGATTCATGCTGCGGTCTCTCTCCTTGAATCACCAGCTCTCCCCCACTTGGGGTCCTGACCCGAACCAACTGCTGCTCACAGTCGATCACCGCCCCATTAGGGCTCAACCAATCCATGCCTATGATAACCTTGTTCCCGCGCAAAGGAATGGGAACCAAATCCATGAGGTAACGCTCGTCATTCATCCTCAGTACACTATCTTTATAGACCTCTGGTGCCCGGAAGGATCAGTCGTCCGTAATCTCAACCTCTAAAGGACAATACAACATGCTCGTAGACTCGACAAATTTCTTGCTGAGTGCAAGAGAAACAAAAGATCGGGTAGCTCCCGAGTAAAATAACACCAACACTGGGATATCGTTCACATGGAACGATCCTAAAACAAAATACATGCAACATAAATATCAAAACTGGAACATAGTAAAAAATAGGGAGAAGAAACATACCCGTCACCACATCGGGTGCGACACGCGCCTCCTCGGCGGTTAGCTAGAAGGCTTGGCTTCTCACCACAGGAGCATCTGGCTTGCCTCGTCGGCCATCTGTGTTCCACAGGGTCGCTGGAGCAGGCGCCGCCACTGGCGCTCCTGATACCAATCTCGGGCAGTTGACCTTTTTATGGCCCTTCTGATTGCAATGGAAGCACATCAGGTCTGATGTCTGAATGGTGGGGGTAGGGGCCGTACAATCCTTGCCAAAGTGCCCAAGCTTGCCGCACTTATAGCAACCCGATGCCCCCAATCTGCAAACTCCCTCATGCGTCTTGCCGCATTTCCCACAGCGGCTCCGGCCCTGCAGGCCCTTCGACCTCGAGTCGAATCCCTTAGGTTTCTTTGCCGAAACCCCAGTCGTCTGCCCAGTCTCCGCCTCCCTCTTCCTGATGTGCTCTATATCAATATCCCTCTCCCGTGCTCTGGCTATCATGTCCTCCAAGGTCGGGCACGCCGAGTAACTGACATGTTTCTGAATGTCAGCTGTCAACATGTCATAGTACCCGGTTTTCTTCATCTCCTCATCACTCGCGTACTGAGGCACCAACAAGGACCTCTCCCTGAATTTGGCGGTAATCTCCGCCACTGTCACAGTAGTCTGTCTCATATCCAAGAACTCCCTGGCTAGCTATTGAATCTCCACAGCCGACGCGAACGCAGCTCGAAATCTGGTCACAAAGTCCGACCAAGTCATAGCCTCAATGGTTGGGGCTCCCAACGTATCACTGACTGCCTCCCACCAGTCTCTAGCACTCTCCCTCAAACAACCAGCATCATACCTGACCTTCGACCCCTCAGGGCAGAAGCTCGTCAACTGTGCAGACTCGATGTCTGCAATCCATCTCCTAGCTACAATGGGGTCTTTCACCCTGCTGAAGTCTGGCGCACCATATCCCCTGAAATCCTTGAAGGAGAGTGTGCGAGTCCGTGACTGGCCAGGTGCCAGGTCACTCCTGAATGCCCTAAGGCGATCCTCCATCAACTCAATGATACCCTCCTTGATCGACCCGAAAATCACCGGGGTCGCCTCAAGGATGCCTCTCGTAATCTCCGATACTATGAACTTACGCAATCCATCATCGACTGGCTCGAAACCCGTACCCGAACCTGACCCAGACCCTGAACCTCCTACTCCGTGACGTGTCACTACCATTCTGAAACAAAACACACAATCGGCAGGGTCATACATAACCTCGAGAGGTCTCACACACCCTACAAGTTCACTGGTTCTATCTCAGCCCTCCTTGACTCGAGTACAGATCCTCTGCTTTCAGTAGTACGGGCCCATACTACCTTCCACATCTATCAGTACTTTTCCTCAAGGATTGCTTTGACTTTAACTAAAAAAAATGTAGGGTTTTAAAGAGGGGGAAGAGATGGTGAACTTACCTGAGTTCCATAGTCATCTCCTAACACCTCTTTGTTTACTTGTTGTTGCTTCCGCGATCGCCTCACCATCTCGATCGATTTAAAGTCCGATCGATTTGGATTTCCCATCGATTTGAGATTTCCGCAAAAATCCGTTTCCTCCACAGATCACCGATGTCGAATCCGTAAATTTGCTCCATTTTTTCTTTTTTTCCATGTAATTTTACAATTATACCCCTAAAACGTCATTCCTCAAAAAAATTGTCTTTCCGCAACGAGTAAACAGACTTCCACATAGAAGGTCTGCATAAATCCTGTTCATTTAATGAAAGTTAAATTTTGCTTGGTCATTTTTTTCAACCACACCTATGTTTTTGTTATTTCATGAATTTTCTGGTAAGTGCTTTTGTTTTTACTGTTTAGTTTATCCTTATAAATATCAAGTGGGGCAGGCCACGCCTCTCCTTAAAAGTTAAAACACACAACCAAACATCAATTTTTTTTGAAATAAAGTTGCATGGGAATTGATAAAGTTGGTTTTCTAAGATAGAAACTTTCCATAAAAGGAAAGTTTTTTAAAAGAAAAAGATGAAATATATATTTTAAAAATGCGAGGCATCTTTGTTTATTCATACTACATGAATTACGCAAGTTGTTGGCCAATTCATTATTAGATAGTGTTAGTGATTTATATTTATGTGTTATATTACTTATTGTATAGACCAAGGCCCGTCCAAGAAGTACAGTCTGAAAAGTGAAAACTATGTATTTTGTATTTTTGTTCTTTTTCATTCCAATAAAAAAAACTATTATAATAGTTTTGCTTTATAATTTACGAGCTGTTGGCGTTTTATCAATAATTTGGTGGTGTGGTCCCATAACTATTTTACCGATTACAAATTAACAATTAGACATATTAAGCTTTTTATATTTCTAATTTGGAAATCCAAATGTCTTTTTTTTGATAAGATATAAAGTTAGTGTGAAATAAAGTAAGTCTAGTCCAAATATTCAATTTTTAGACAAGGTGGTATTTTTGAGAAATGGCTAAAAAGTTGCGATAAATTACCATTTATGATGGTAATTTCAAATTTGTGTGAATATTCCATTTTTTTCTATCAAAACATTAACCAATTGAAAGATATATATTCTATTATATATTATATATAATAATAAATAGATATTACCAAAAAAATGAGTTCACAAGTAGCACATGGATCTGTTTCATGATTTCAATTCTAAATTTCGATGTTGTTATGTCGAGCACATCCATTTTCTTCTTGTGATTTTGCACCTGATAAACAAGAAACACATCTATAAGAAAAAGACAAAACTTCAAAAATGGTCCCTGTGGTTTCCGAAAATATCAAGTTTAGTCCCTAAGTTCAAAAAACCTCACAGATGGTCCCTGTGGTTTCAAAACTTTTAACAAATGGTCCTTTTCGCTAACTCCGTTAGCTTTTGGCCGTTAAGTGAAGGGCATTTCTGTCATTTCACTACTACATGGACCATTTATGAAGTTTTTTGCCTTATTTAAAAAAAAAAAAAATATATAATTATTTAATATTAAAGGGTTCCACCCTCTCTCTCTCTCTCTCTCTCTAGGGATGAAGAATCGAAGCGGAAAAAAACCCAGATCTGCACTCTTTCTCCTTCCAGTCAGACCCACACCTACCGGTGGTGAAGCACCACCATCGCCACTATAATTTTCAGACCACCAACCACCGCCATTGTTGCTCTGTCTCTCTCACAATTATACCCGATATAAGCCTCAACATCATCTGAAAGATGTCATACTCTTGCAAGATCTGCAACACCAAGAAGGTCCCCAAGGAGGTACGACGGCAAAACCCACCACTGATCCATAACTCACTCGAGTCAACTCAGTCCCACCACCATTGCTGGAATTCGAAATAGAAATGCTCTTGATTTTCCGACCCCGGATTGGTTCTCCTTTCTCCGAATCCTTCTTAGATTTCACGAACTGGGTCACGTCGAAACTCGCCAAAAAATCCGATAAATTGCTCCCATTAGAAAAAATAAAATAGCCTCCCTCACCCATCACCCTCACGTTCTCTATTTCTCCGACACCACCAAAATTGGGGCAAAATCACCATAATTTGACCTAAATTGGTAAGCCCAAATCAAAATCTAAAATTGAAACTTAGATTCAAGCTTTGTGTGTAATATTTGACCTAAATCGAAAGCATCATCTCCATTGTCGCCTTCCTCTAAAAGCTCTGCATCTGCGAGCTTCGTCAATACAAGCTCACCAGGTTGGGATCTTCCTCCATCGATTTCAATAGGAACCAATCATTTGATTTTGATGACACTGTTGTGGTAGCTGATAAGAAGAGGTATCTGAAAGGAGGAGGCGATCGTCAATGTTCAGATGTTGTCCAAAGCTTAGTGTTTATCGCAGCTCATAAAGAGCTAGAAGAGGAGTTCATAAATGAAATAGATGAAGCTGGTGATGGTAGAGAGAAGCAACTACGTAGAGAGAAATCAATGGAGAAGAGGGAAATCTAGGGGAGAAGAAGGAGTACAGACAAGAGAGAGGCGACTTAGGTAGAGTAAATGACGACCCATGGGTTTTTCAGTGGGTTCTGGTCGTGTTTCTGATGGCTCCAGTGACTCCGATGATACTGGGTTGAGGTCTAAATTTAGGGCGATGGCTCCGGCGGTGGGATCGATTGCACGTATGGTTATGGGAGGTGGTTCAAGGCCAAAGTCAGGTGAATAACAAGATATGGATCTTGTTTGATACCGATCTTCTCTTTTTCTTGTTATACACAAGCTTTAGAGTAAAGAAATGGTGGTCCAGATGGTTTAGCTTCTTTTCGATCGATCGATCGAGAGAGAGAGAAAGAGAGAGAGAGAGCCCTTGCATATTAGATTTTATTTATTTATTTATTTTTTCTAAAAGAAGTAATAGAAAACCTCATAAATGGTCCCTGGGTAGTGAAATGACAAAAATGTCCCTTACTTAACGGCTAAATGCTAACGGAGTGAGCCGGAAGGACCAAATGTTAAAAGTTTTGAAACCACATGGACCATCTGTGAGGTTTTTTGAACTTAGCGACTAAACTTGATATTTTTGAAAACCACAGGGACCATTTTTGAAGTTTTGTCTAAGAAAAATAAAAGACTTTACAACTAATAAAAAAAGCAAGAAAAACACACATAAACCTATAACTCTACCGGTGATTTGTTTGCAATTTGGGTGGGTACTCATGCGATAAAAATCACTACTATAGCATTACATTCGATAAACATGATTTCTCAAGATTACGTAACTGATTTGGATGATATTTTGCTCTCTCTATATAATGATTTCTTTGCGCTTTTGATGGGTTTAATGGAGGATAAAATAGTTTGTTGTGATTCATGAAAGAAAGTAATAAAAAATAATATGGGGTTGCCAAGAATGCAAAACGAAAGTTTTCAAAAGAATGAGATCCCTTATTAAATGTACCTTTCTGATCAATCAACATCTTTTTTTTTTTTTTTTTTTTTTTTTTTTTTTGTTAGGCAAAAAGTTGTAATTTTCACTTAAAACAAGAGAATCAAAATTAATTAAATTATATCTTTAAATATTAAATACCGTGAATAGTCATTACTATTAATGATAATATAGTACTCTATTTATTTTTACCAACGACCCAGAATTCATATTATATGTTTTGCAAGATTATATATTTTAATATCGAACATTAAATATATTAAAAACCAAACTAATCTATCGTTACCCAAATTGGGATGATTATATACCCCCGAAACACAAAACACATGGAGACGACATTCCATCTTATATAAATCCATGGATAACCCCTGCTGCTTCGCATTACACATACAGAATCCTTTCCCTTCTGATCATCACGAGCTCTCAAATTAAAACATAGGGGTTCTGGGTTCTACCAAATCTAATCGATTGCTCGCAGGTAAAGCCTACTATTCTCTCTCTCTAGATTTTTTTTTTTCAGTATTCCATGGATTTAAGTTCATCTCTAACGACGTTTGATTATTTGCATAATTCCGTTTGTGATTCGAATATCCTTTCTTTGTTTTCTAATTGTATTATTGGGAGCCACACCTTTTGGAATCTTCGTCCCTTACTTTTTGGACCATTGTTATCTCTTATTCCCATTATTGGTTTGTGCTGTTTAAAAGATTCATTCCACATAGAATAATCGTCAACTGCTGTACGCCTTCGTAAACTCTTTGTTCATAGACCCCGTTCTTCTGTACGTGTATGTGTAATCCTTCAAAGTGCCTGATTGAAGGTCGTTTGTTTATATTTTTTTGGTTCTCAACGTTATTTGTAAACTGATCTACCTTACATCAGGTCCTTAAAGATGGTTTTTTTTCTACTCTACATTTAGCTTTGTCAGTCTATTTCTACTTTTTTTTTTTCCTACATTAGTTTTCAAAGTCTAACCCAAGCTAAAAGTTCTTCTTATTATGAATTCAAAATCCCGATGTTAATGTGCTACAGGTTTCCTTTGCTGTGTTTTGTTGTTACTTTTTTCAAGTTGATCTGATTTATTGTTAATCAATTGTTGACAAATCTGTACGAGCTAATATAAACCCTAATTTGATTGCTAGATCGGCAATGACCAAATGTGTGATGTTTCTACCATTTGTCCTACATATACTGATACAGTTTTATATATGTATTGATGATTTGATATTATCTTATTACAGATGGATGCTGAAAACCATGAACATGGACACACTGTCGACATATCTGCAGCCCTTCCATCTGAAGAGAACAACAGGCAAACTGTCAGCAAGGTTTGTGGTGGAGCACCATGTGGATTCTCAGACTCAAAAACCACTTCCAGGGAGGCAAAAGAAAGATCAGCATCAATGTGGAAGCTCTGGTGCGGAGTGATCTTGTGTGTCATCTTCATGAGTGTAGAGGTTGTAGGTGGAATCAAAGCAAACAGTCTGGCAATCCTTACAGATGCTGCTCATCTCTTATCAGATGTTGCAGCTTTTGCAATCTCTCTCTTCTCTGTTTGGGCTTCTGGATGGGAAGCCACACCCAGGCAATCTTATGGGTTTTTCCGGATTGAAATTCTTGGCACTTTAGTTTCAATCCAAATCATTTGGTTGTTAACTGGAATCCTAGTTTATGAAGCCATTGATCGTCTCCTTCATGGCACAGTTGATGTTGAAGGTAGTCTAATGTTTGGTATCGCATCATTCGGCTTAATTGTCAACATTCTCATGATGTTCATACTAGGCCATGATCATGGCCATGGCCATAGCCATGGACATGGACATAGCCATGGACATGGACATGATCATGATCATGATCATGGCGAAGATGATATACATATCCATGGAGTTAGTGTCACAACCCACCAACACCACCGTCATGATCATGGTCATGGTCATGAACATGATCATGATGAAGGACACAATGAGCCTCTATTGAAAACCTACTCATCAAAAGAAACGAAGAAAAGGGGGAATATCAACGTGCAAGGTGCGTATCTTCATGTTTTAGGGGATTTAATACAGAGTATCGGGGTAATGATAGGGGCAGGGGTAATATGGTACAAACCAAGCTTAAAAGTAATAGACCCGATATGTACTTTGCTGTTTTCGGTTATTGTTCTGTATACAACAATCAACATGCTTCGTGACATATTAGAGGTATTAATGGAGAGCACACCAAGAGAAATCGATGCAACAAGTCTTGAAAGAGGGCTTTGTGAAATAGAAGAAGTGGTTGCGATTCATGAGTTGCATATTTGGGCAATTACTGTTGGGAAGGTGTTGTTGGCATGCCACGTCAGGATCAGGCCTGAAGCTGATGCTGATATGGTTCTTGATAAAGTTGTGGATTACATTAAAAGAGAGTATAACATCAGCCATGTCACCATTCAGATTGAAAGAGAATAAATAAATCAGTTTTAAAAAATTTTGGGCGACTTGATTCTTTTAGGGTTTTTTAGTTGTGGGTCAGGTTTATGTGCAGGGATTATGGTTTTAAGATTTTGATTTTTTTTTTTCTGTCATCTTGTTTGGGTTTGTATCTTACTTATTGATGCCATAAAATGCAAAAAACACTTGTGTGGGGAATCTTTATTGGTTAGAAATATGAAATTGGATTTTCCCACTTTGTGGAATGTTTTTAATTATCTTTTTATAACAGAGATTATTTTATTGCTTTGTGTGTGTTGAAGTGGTGAGAAGAGTGTAGAGGCTGGCTGGCATGCCATGAACAGGAAAAGCGATTAAAAAACTTTTAAGTTTTTTGTCCTTTGTTTGATTGTAACAAGTGTGAAAGCACGTTTAGTATCAACCATACACGTTCATATGATGTTACGTTTGGGAAATCTTTAGGTGTATTTTCTTTCCTTTTCTTTGAGACACAAAGAATCTTGCACGTTTTAAAATCGTTACTACTCATAACTTAATTATATAATCTACAAATAAAAGGTGTATTCACTAAAATAACTTAAATACGAGGGAGCAAGGTTTTGAAAACCAGTGTATTCATCTCTCTAATGGGTTTCATATGCTAAAAGGAAAACAAGAAGAATATGACAACGACACAGGCACACTAAGATCTTTGAGTCCACTACATCCAAACAAATATCTCCTTCATAGTAAGTGTTTTTCAGTCGATAGTTTGTCAATATTTCCAAACTAAAGTGTTAGTTAACTATCAATATTTCCAAACTAAAGTGTTAGTTTCATCCACCATCCATATCCAGGGCCGGATTTGAGGGGGTTAAGGTGGGCAGCCGCATAGGGCCCTAAAAAAAATAGGGCCAGAGATTTGGCCATATTGTCTATTTAATATTTATATAAATAATAAATCGTTCAAACAAAAACATAAATTTCATATGGTTCAAATGGTAAGCGCGCTTCTATTTTCTTAAGTTAATACAAACTATCCGCGTTCAAATCTCTTCATCGTTCAACTGCGTGTCTTTTCAATTGGGCTAAACTTCCTTCCACTAAATTATCGTGCCTTTTTTTTTTGCATCCACTAAGAACAAGATTGCAAGATTCTTCATGTAATATTTTATTAAATTATTAAGTATTTATTTTAAAAGATTAATTACTTTTATTGAGTTTTAATACACTATGCACCCATTTGTTTCACTAATTTATAATGACTTCCAAAAAGATAATGATAGTGACGGCTTCTAGTTATCAATAGGGAATCGTTAAACGGTTGAAGGAGAAGAATAAATTTTTGTCACATTTTACTAATGACCAAACTAACCTTTAAAATCTTTGTTTTATTAAAATATTTATATTTTTAGTGAAATTGTAGTATAAAATATTCGGTCCGGAACAACTAGTCGGTACTAATTAAAATACTATGATTTTTCTATTTTTATTGCTATAAAGTTTGTCGCTGTTTAAAAAAAAACAGTTTATGTAATTTAATTCGTTCCACATTAAAGCTTAAGAGCCTTTTTTCCGGCTCGTCTAAAGCATTTGAATCTTCAGGACCGGCCATGTCCATATCCAACCAAATACCATCCTGAATCCATCCCGAAACATTCACAACAAAAATTATCACAAAATCATAACAAAAGCTACCAAATTTCAGCCAAAATCAATACACAAACAATCAAATTTCAATGGTAAACAAATGAGCTACTACAATAAAATGTTAACTAAATCATCTTAATTTGTTCGATAACTCACCAAAGAGGGTGGAGATGTAAGCACGTATATTCACCGAAGATGGTTGCCGTAGGAGGTGATTAAATTCACACCAAAATCACGACACTAAACAACTAAACGTTGCTTGATTAATTTATGCTCAAGAAATTTGGAACTAATAGTGAGTGATATCCCTTGTTCTTTAGTGGAAACAAATTAAACTAAACTAAACTTAGATTGTAAAAGAAACTTGGAACTTATAGTGAGCGTTGTCCCTTGTTTGCTCATATCTTTTCTCACAAAGTTTATGTTGAGAGGGCCTTTAGACTAGCAAACTCACAATTGGAGCCAAAACAGAACTTGAACCCACTTTCACAACCAGTAAACCATTGAACCATTGAACAAGCAAACAATTGAAAGCTAACTTGTTTCCACATGTTGCCCATTTGCATTTTGAACATTATCTAACCGAAAATCAACTAAAAGATAACCATAAAGAAAGCCTATAAAGCTTATTGAATATTGTCTCTATCTGAGAGTACAACTGATCCCAAATTATTCCCTCCCCCCCCCCCCCCCCCCCCCCCCCCCCCAAAAAAACGGATATCTTCAGCACCAAAAAAACAAACAATTAATTTCATAAAAAAAACATTAGTAATGATAATTATCAAGGTTATAAAAGGTGTAAGCCGTAGCGTGGCAGCAAGGCCAAACCTCAAGTTTTACTAGCAATGACGAGTCATGACGTTTTTCAAAGTCATGATGTAAGGCGGCGATTTTGTATTAATTTTTAATTATATTTGCCACATAAATATAGATTTGTATTAGATATAACCAATTTTTAGAAGTGATATATCAACAACTATTAATAAAAAAACTCAATAGTTGTATGGCCGGTCAGAAAATGCATAAAAAAGAGCCAAAACGTGTTTCAAACAAAAAAAAAATTGCACCATAACATGCCATAACGTACCATGACACGCCATATTATGCTTTTCCATGCGCCATGCCTAACAACAATGTTATGCGGCTATTCTTAATGACAGAGTCACGTCTCACGTCATGGTGCGCCTTTTATAACATTGATGATTATAAATTAACGACCTAATACATGTTGAATTCATCAAAGGTGGATACCAAAGCCAAATACTCGTCTTTCCAGGCTGACGCGCCACCTGACCATTGAAACCCTTCTCTCTAACAGATATCAAGAAAGACATGGGCCACATCCTCATCTAATAACTAATGAAGCGATCTTTCAAATACATCAATGACATGTTGCAGTTTTACGAACTCAGTCTTCTTAACGATAAGAAAGAAACGTGATTGGAAGGTAGGACTGGAATCAGAGACACCAAAATATTCACCAAACTGGAAGTCGGTGACAAGAAAAAATTCCCTATTCTCGAATGTCAACTTGTACTCCTCGATCTCAAAAACCATTTTCTCTACTTCGCTTCGATGAATTGTCACAACTTCTTTGCAGAACACGTAATGTAAAAGTAAAGGATCCCCCTTTATCCCAACATGAATATCTAACCATCTACCAAAACATGACTTTCAGAACATAGCTTCGCATGGCGGTCTCTTTGAGTTTCGTAAGAATATCCGCTTCAATGGCGGGTTTGCAAGATAGCGTAATAGAAGCGTCAAAAAAGTTTGTCATGCAGCAAAAAAATACTTTTAAGATAACTCAGGGTGTAAATGGTGCTCCTGAACGAACTGCGATGAGCATTCCAGACTTATTCTTTGCATTTCGGACATGTTCCAAAATACGTGTGTGTGTGTTGGAATACCAAAATTTGATGTACAATAACGTAAGACACTAAATAAACTATTTTTAAGTTGGTCCTAACACCAACTTACTAACTAATCAAGAGATTAATATGATATACGGACATGATCTTCGCGTTCCGGACTGCCTATTTACAATAATAATCATAAAATGAAACAAGTAAAACTCAAGGAGTCAAGAACTCACTCGTAAAACCTCCAAGTCATCGGAATCAGATGTCATATCTTCTTTGCATTTTTAGTTTGAAATATTAGATATTCCAATGTGCATTCCCGAATTTCATTTTGAACATATCGGAATGGGTCGAGCCCGGTCAACTAAGTCCAAAATGGTCTCCGAAATAGGCCATTTCGGACATGGTGGTTATTTTTCAAAATACATTATTTTTGTAAAACCGAGATAAAATATTTGATTTTTTTAAAATATAATATTTACTAACATTTTATTCATCAAATAATGATACTTGGAGTTACTTTTTATTTCAAAATCACTATACAATGTGATACTAATAAAAATCTTAGTATGTTCATGTTAGGTATAGTTTGACATTTACTTCATGTAATCTTTAGGATAAATACATGGGAAGGCGGAAAATGAAGGTTACTTTTTTATATGTATCTCATATTTTCATATTCAAGTTCTTATGTGCTTACTAATAAAATATTTATATGTTCGTATCTTGTTAAAGATACACTAACAAGATAAAGAAGTTTTGTCTGTGTTATCCTTAAGGCCGTATCACAAGAGCCTCGTTTCATGAAAATGCTTTTGGGTTTGAAATGGGCACGAAAAAGATCGAGATTCTTCATTTACTTAATGGCAGTGGCTTTAAATGGGCATGAAAATATTAGATCAAAATTAAAAGGACACTTTTTAGTTTTTACTTGCTAACTCTTGTAACGATCAAATGAGGAAAATGTTAGAAGCATATGTGAGTTGTTTGTTTTTAGACATTCATATATGATCTTTTTAGACTCCATATATGCGAGTTCTTTTGTTTTCAGCCATTCATTAATATCCCAATTCTAGCAAAGAAAAAAACATAATTGAGGCTGCAGAATTTTCGGCCTTCTTGACTTTTGACCTCTCTTCTCCCTTCATGAAAAATACCTTATCAGGAAGTTCAATTTGCACGGATGCTATATATCTTCTATCGTGTGCAGGACCCGATTCTTGCTCAATTCTGCAAGAAAAAAAAAACACTAAAATTAAACGGATTTTATAATTAATTCGATTTCCATCTTTAATTAATCTCACATGATCTGGTTTAGTAATAAAAGCAAAATATTAACATACCTGTAAGTCGCTTTTGGCCACCTTCTCCTGATACAAAGTTCATGTATTTTTCGTTTGGCACCTTTAATCTCAGTGACTTCACCAGAATTACCATTCATTTGCAGACTTATTGCATCAGTAGTTCTTTTCAGCCTTGTTAACTTAGATAGAGCAACCTCAGCTGCATGAAGCTTAGCATTCTCTTTATTCTCTGAAGAGCCAGAGGCAATAAACTTTCCATCTATATAAACACTTGCAATGTTTCTTTCACCTGAAAAAAAAAGGTATATAATATTAGTTTTATAGGTCAAGAATTCTGCATTTTAGAAATAAGTTCTAACCTTGCCTCCAGTTCTTTATCTCAACACCTTTCCCTTCTTTTTGGCATGCCTCGTATAGCTTGGTAATAGGCTGTGGCCGTTTCTCAAGAACAGTTAGCATAACCATCGGTTCTAGTAGCTCTCTAATTACCTGAAAACAAAAAAAAAAAAAAAAGTCGAAAGAAATTGATCACTCCAATATCTACTTAGTCAACAGTTATTTGTAATCATTAATCGAATTGAAGCGATGTATAGGATCACAACCACTCACCTCCCATAGGATTTGAAAATTGAAATCACAATCTTGAAATACAGCTCCAGTAATCGATTCAACAATATCCGCAAGCACCTTTGGAGCTTTCATCTGTCCACCATGCACCACCATCTCATCTTCTTCTTCTTCAACCGCTATCACAAATTCCCTCACCTAATTACAAATAATAATGGATAACTACATAAATGCATAAATATATAGATTTTTTGTAAATAAAGAGTGTATGTAATTGTAGAAAGCAATACCTTGTCATTAAGAACGCTGGTTTTGTGGCGGACATATTTGTAAAGGCCGTTGCGGACCGCCACGCGTGCGAGTTTTTCGGTACTGATATTGGCGGCTCGGAGGAGAGAGATTTGACCAGGGTCAAGTTCAGGGTAAGCCAAGTAGACAAATTTAGTGATGAGGACTCCAAGAACAGAATCCCCCAGGATTTCCAAACGTTGGTAGGATTGAGACTCAGTGTAGGAAGAATGCGTTAAGGCTTCTTCTAACAGTTTTTTGTTCTTGAAGGTGTACTTCAATATGGATTCAACAGCTGCAATAGAATCATCCATGTTCCTCATGTATTGACTGGAACCGGATGATTGAGTTTCTTGTGGGGCCATGTCGATGTCATATGTGTACACAATCTTCTCCTCCGATTCTACATCCGGGACCATTTTTCTCTTTTTTGATTGAGAATTTGAATTCGACATGTCTAGCTATAAAGTACAATGCTATAATAGGAAGAAACAAAAAGAGAATGTTATATATAATAAAGAAATCAATAAAAAACACTGTGAGATGATTACATCTCGTTTTCTTGGAGTTTATTATACGTCATATACTTGTATGGCCTTACCTGATGTGCATGCAATCCAAGGAAGGCCCAGGTCCAATAGTGTAGCCTAAGAACCTATTATAGTTTTTGATCTAAATAAGAGTATTACCTATTTTCTGCATATTCTATAATTCTCGTTCTCATATGGAATTCCCAATAAAAGACGCAGAAAATGGGTAATACAGTTATTTAGACTAAAATAGCTTCTAGGGGTACACTATTGGACCTCGACATCCCATGGATACGACACATATATAATTGTGTCACCTATGAATATACTCCGGATGTTAATGTCATATTATGCAACTTAAGACAGAATAATCATGTTAGTATCTTGTATGAGAATAGTATAGGAGTAGTCTAGATCCAAGTTTCATTGTCTCCATGATCACTCTTCAGTACCCAACTAGACTTGATTTTAACTACAAAACTGAAAAATTATTTTATTGACTTCAAATTTTCATTACAATCAAGTCCAAAATAAAATATTTCAACTCTCTTAAGTCTTAACCAAAAGAACAAGTGTTCAATCAAAGATGTGTTCAATCACATAAACCATACATGACAAGGTTACCTTCACTTAAATTCAAAAGTATACAATCCCGGCTCACGGAAATCGATCAAAAAGAGTAAAAGTGTTGAGATCTACCAGAAAAATCACAATCTCAGTTTTGAATGATTTATAATGGAAAAAAAAAGTTTAATTTATTTCAACACGCAGCTCAAGATGGATCGTTTTGTCATGAAAAGAATAAATGGCGGATGGTGAATAAAGAAACGAAGTTGAAGGACTAAGCTTGTAGAAATGGATAATGCATTAGTTTTTTTTTGATTTTTTTTTTTTTTTTTTTTTTTTTAAATCTTTTTGCTCAAAAGGTTTTCCATCTCATCTAGTTTTTATTTTGATTGTAAAATAGCTTTATGAAATTGTACCAAAAGGTTTCCTCTAGAGTGAAGATTTAAAAACAAAATCATAGCGACAGTTTAAAGAAACGAATCAATCATGCTTCATCAAATATCATTCCTGAAGGTTTTCAATATACTTTGAGCTACAAAAAGTCATCAAATCAGCTTAAGCATAAACCTAACACCTGGTGCATGATATTGAAAAGATTGTTTCTGTGCACAAACTAGCAATTAATCAAGTTATCTTCAACAAAAAAAAAAAAAGACAAAATGATAAACTATTCACTTGGACAAAAACGTTTATAAAATCTCCAAAGAACTAGTTATTCTAATCCGAATCCAACATTGTCTACAGAAACACAATCAAAACGATGGATAAAGTGAAAATTAGGGATACCTTGGAGCAAAAGAATGCTGCGGCGACTGGTGAGTGAGGATTGAGGAAGGGATGAAGATAATGAGAAAAGAAGTTAGGGTTTCTGTTCTTATAAAAACCCAGAATGCATTTCCTAGGAGTATAAATTCCAGCTTTATTTTTGCCATTTTGGTGAAGCTTTTCACAGTGTATTCAGGATCAATTGCAGCTTTATGAATTGCCATTTTGGTGATATGATCGTACAAAACAGACCAAGAAATGAACTCACAAAAAGCCTCAACGACGACTGATAACTTTTCCGTTTAATCATAACGATCACAGAACACTACCAATTCATTCAATATTAGGCATGATACCGTGAGAGACCGAGAGTAACGCCTTGTTCCCGAGTTTTTTTTGTAAATTCATCAAGGGAAAGCGAAGGAAAATTTTGACGGAAAGAAAGGGAGGTGAAGGAAAATATTCATTATTCTGTGTTCCCGAGTTCGAAGGAAATGAAAAGAAATGAAAGGAAAATTTTAAGTTTTTGTGTTCCCGAGTTAGGAGGAAAAAGAAAATAAAACTAAAAATTTTCTTTCCCCTCACTTTCTTCCCAAATCTGTCCAATTTGGGAGGAAAATTTGAAAGGAAAATATGACTCCAAAATCTTTCCCCTCCCCTCACTTTCCTTCCATTAATGAAACTCGGGAACATGATTTTCCTTCGACACCCCTCACTTTCCCTCCGTATCCTCTCATTTCTCTCCTTAAGTGGAACTCGGGAACAAGGCGTAAGGGGTTGCACGAAAGTTTCACTCTCGGATCCTCTTTGGGTTGCTCTTTTTTTTTTAAGCATAAAAGTTTTTTTTTTTTTTTTAAGAAAAATGTTTATTAGCTTGTTGCTTTTAGAAAAAGCTCGTTTTAAAAAGTGTTTGGATAAAAAAAAGTTTTTTTAGAGTAAAATGGTTAAAAAGCTAGGATTTTTCAGCTTTTTGAAAACTTTACTTTTTCCTATCCAAAAAACTGTTTAAAAAATGCTTTTCAAATACACAAACACTTTTTTAGCTTATTGACTTTTTGAAAAGCTAATAAACTATTTTAAAAAGTTATGCCAAACACCTACATAATCCTCTTCCTAATAAAAGAGTATCTTTTATGCGATGTGTCAATTCCACATCCCATAATTCTGTAAAGTCAAATTCCTAAAATACCCTTCAAACTGCCATTATGTACGTGTACTATCTCCGGGTTTCGAGTTTCTGTATTAATCTCTATTCAATTTCTTTTTGAAAACCCCTCACCCTATCAAATCAGCAAAGAAATCCCAAAAAATCAGGACGTAAATCATGCTCATATTCAAGAGATTTAAAGAAAGTGCAATCTCACTTACTCATTCCAAAGCTTCATAATCCATATCCATCTTTATTCACAATAGTTACAGTCCATTTGCTTGTAATTCGTTTTTGTTATGTAGTAATCTCGATTTTCAAGATGAATGAATCAGACATGCTTAAAAACGAGAACGGGGAGGAGAATTCCCATGAGGAAATCGCACCTCCTCCAGGTTTTGTACTCGCTAGATCTTTTCTCATTTTAAACTTTAGTTGTTTAATTTCAGTATCCACTTATGTAGTATTTCAAAGAATTGTCAACAAACCGTGTTAATTTGCAAAGTATGAAATGGATTTCAAAGTTCTTGAATTATGATCTATTGCAATATAGTCTGGAAGTACTTGTGTGCCCCTTTAGCACGAAAATGACCAAATATCTGAAGAAGATGCAGACATTACTAGATCAGGTTCTCTATCATTTTCTATGTTTTACATGTTTTTCATGTTTCAGTTAGGAAAAAATACAAAAAAAGAAAAAAAAAAACCATGATTGTTGCTAATTAAGAGCTATATTGGTTGTTGAACAGATAAACTATGACAAACAGGTTGAGAAAGATTTGAAGGTTTTGAAAGTTAAGAATAGTAATGATGGGATCTTGGATAAATCACTTGAAGTTAAACTATTTAAACAACAAGCCAGAGGTGCTTCTGTTTCTTTATAAAAGTATATATCTTTATAAAAATTATAAAAGTTTTTCATTTTATGGTGGACCAATTATAGGAATTACTACAACAAATATAAAAAGAGAAGGAACTCCGGTGTGAAAAGACTTCTAAAGCTAATAATGTGAGATCACAAGTGGAGTATAGTAGGCATTGTTTGGAACAAAGGCAAATGAATATAGAAGCTTTTGGTTGGTGAGGTACGAATTATTTTTATAAATTCTCATATTGGATATTGTTCATAAATTATAGATATATATTTTTTTAAACTTGTTAGGGGCAACTATAAATGAAAAGATTAACATGGAGAATGATTCAGCAGCATCTACACAGCAAATATTAGCATCTACACTACAAATATTACACCATAAATCTCAAGAGATCACTAAAGAGGTGAAAGTGTTTTTTTAAATAACCAAAATGATATCTTATTTTGATTAAAACTAGATACAAGTGAAATATATATAAATGTATTTTCTTTGGGTGTAATTTTTCGAGTATTCAAATTATATTGGGCACTTTGTTTCTCAGATTGTGGAAGAAGCACAAGGCATCACAAACTGATCTTTTTAATGCTCTACTTTTTGTTTGATGATTATATTATGATGTTGATTTTGCAAATTCTTTTTGGATTAATGTTACTAATGAGTAAGAAACTATTATAAATTCAATAAATTGGTCACCGGTAGGGGGAAGGGTATATTGGTCTATTTGAAGTAGAGAGTGAATTGATGTGCATGTGATTGTATCTGTTAATTAGTGTGTAGCTGTGGGAGGGGTGTTTTGACTACTTACTATAACAAACAAAATTTCTACCTTTGTAAACTAATGAAGGTGTACAAATCGTTGATTAGTCATTACGATTTTAAATTATAAACAATGTTTTTCTTTCTTAACCGTGGTTTCCATGGGTATTAACCTAGTATATTAATAATTAAGTAACAAATAACTAAATAGTGTATAACGTTATGTAATTTAATGTATATATGCGTGCAATTCAGGTTTTTTATTTGGTTTGTTGTTTGATTATTCTTTGCAAAACTAAGAACCTCACAGTACAATTGTTTTTTTTTATTTTTTACATAATTAAAAACCGTACCAATCCGTTTTTGTTTCGATTTTTTCGGTTTCAGTTTGTGTGGTTTTTTCGGGGTTTTCTATTTACGGGTTTGGGTTTTTTCACTAATTGTTGGTGATTTAAGTGATACAATGTCATTTTAGTATAACATGATTTATAAATTACCAATAGTAATTCAATTCTTGATTTTATTGCAAGTTAAAAGGTACAAGATGTACGCTTGTATAAAACGAGTTTGATCTCAGTTCAACCAAATGACAATGATTAAGGGGGTTGTGTCGCCCCCTTACGGGGTCCTAAGGGCAGCGCTCCTAGCAGAGTCTAAGGGGGTGCTGCCCTAGTGAGGGTCCCTGAAAAATGTTATGGAAAATCTTAGTTTCGGAATATATTGCCCATAATTATCTTTGAAATCGCATTCCTTAATTATGGGATAAAATCAACATTTAATGTTGATTGATAATTATCTTGGTAATCAAAATAATTTGAATCCTATATAAACCCTAGTTCGTGACCTCATAATAATGTTTTGATTTTAGATTGTTCCTTGAAAGATAATCCCAAAAATCTGGATTTCGTGTAACCCAGACTAGGGTCAAAATATAAGATTCAAAAAGTGTTTACACGATCCTTCAAGAAGATCCAAGTTCTCATCGAATTCGTAAACCATATTCTCCTCCTAACCCAACACCCGTACCATTAGCAACAACATTAATAACTTCAATATACGTATTAGCAACAAAGCATTAGTATGAACATATTAGTGACGACATGTCGCCACTAAAGACAATAGCAATGATTTTTGATAGTATTAGTGACGACATATATCGCCTTTGTTGCCTTTAAATCTTGTAGTATAATGACATATTTCTTGATGCATTATAATTAATTTTGGTTCGTAATTTAGTAGCCCATGTAAACTACTGAATAATAGAGACAAAATACGAGTAAGATTTCACTACTTTGAAAGAAAGTACCATTACAAAGAAAGGAGAATACTAAATAAATAGAAAAGCTAATTAGGGTAAGCCTAGCTAAATGGTTAAACAATAGCCCAAAACACAAAGGCCCAATAAACTTATTAGGCTAATATCCCCCATCAAACTCATAATGCGGCTATAATAAGCAATGAGAGTTTTTTAGAAAAAAAATGAAACTGAGGAGCAGTCAAGGCTTTCGTAAACATATCAACAATCTTCAAGGTGGATGGAACATGTGGTAAAGAAATAGTCCCATCTTGAAAGTGGGGGCAAACGAAATGACAATCAATCTCAATATGTTTTGTCCACTCATGGAACGCCGAATTCTTGGCAATCATTATCGTACTCTTATTGTCACAATGCAAATGGGTAGGATGAGAAATATGATGTGTTACCTAATAATTTTGTTGGGCCTTTTTCTTGTTGCTAGTGATTTCCCTTGCTCAACAACAAAGGGCATTGAAAATTTTAATTGTTTTTCTTTTTGCAGAAGACACACTCATCAAAAACAACTTTAAGGCGATTTTAATTTGAGCTCTAATGTCATTGCGGAACATTAAAGACAACTAGAGTAATGGTTGTCTTAGACCCTTTTGTCAGCTTAAGACTTGATACAAGTTTCTTCAGCAATCAACTCACAAACAACCGAATCAACAGTGGGAAGAGGGTACGATGCAAGATAAGTCCAATAGTGTAGATTAATAACCTATTATGCATTTTTTTTTATCTAAATAAGAGTATTACCTATTTTCTGCATATTCTATACTTCTCTTATGACCTCACATGAGCACTTGGGTGAATCTTCAAGAAATCTATATGTTACATAATTGTAGGAGAGTGCCAAAAGATTATGAATGATATTATTAACTCCCCTTTCTTTCTCACGTGGAATTCCCAAAGAGGTGATGCCATAAAGAGAAAAATAAAAGACACGGAAAATGGGTAATACCGTTATTTAGACTAAAATAACTTCTAGTGGTACACTGTTGGACCTCGGCATCCCATGGATACTGTAACAACCTGAAATTTAGAGAAAGTTAACTTTTAGTCAAATATTGACCAAAATGGTAAAATGGTCAATTATGAGAAAGAGATGAGATTATGAAGTTGTAACTTCATGAAAATAGCCAATAAGAG